GAGAAACATTTTTTTAAAATTAAAAGTGCAATATTGACAAATAATTATTAAAGTGCATTCTCATATTAAATTTGCACTTTTCTCAGACAAAATTTATTTTTAAATTTTGAAATTTATTAAATTATCTTCCCCTCATTATTTAATAAATTTAAAATAAACAATAAAATAAAAGCTGTTACTCACTGTTACGAAAATAATGCTTAACTGTTACATTTTTACGTCTGTAAACAACGGTATCAGTCTATTTATCTTAGGATTTAGTCATGTTAAATAATACATATCTTTTCTTTATCCTTATTCTTGAATATAAATTAAAATTTTATTGTAGTGTTTTGAGTAGGGATAGGATTTTTAGGCTGTAAAAACATTAAATAAGTATCTAAATAGGTTGCATATAACTGAAAAAATGGGCGAAAAAATAAGAAAAAGATTGAAAAACAGGCGACATAGTTAGCGGCAAAAAAGGCGAATAGTTTCTCGTTTTAATGCAAAAATTTATGTATTACAAATTTGAAACTTTTCAGCGTAAAATATATAACCAAAAAAACCAATCCCTCATTTAGAGTAATAAAATGTCTAAAACAACAAAAATATTTATTATTAATAATTTAATTTGTATTTTACTTCAAATTATTTTAAATAATAATAAAGTCCTTTCTTCTGAGAGGCAACACAAATTCCGAGGGTTAATAGAACCTAGTATTTATTTTTATAATGGAATTCCAAAACCAATTTTATGGAAAATAGAAATAAAATGTTTGCATGGTTGTGATGATTGGTTTAGATTTTATATAGAAGCTACTAATGATGATGTTGACAAAGCTGGTGCTTTTGAAATAAAACTAATGGCTGGAATGAAAAAGGAAGGAATTGGATATAAAAAAATTAGCCAAATTCGTGTTCACATTAGATCAATGGATTTATTAGCTGGACAATTTAGGGTAGGATTTTTTGAATTAAATAAAAATTTTAGAATAGATCATTTTACATTTCCAAAAAACGTAAATGTAGTTTGGTTATTCATTGGTATCTCAAGTCTGCAGAAAATAACTTCATCTATATATATATCCCAAATTCAACTAACATTCTAATAGCAAGGAGGAGAAAGATCCTGCTGGCTAACATTTAAAACGCTCACTAGGCGAATGTTTAAGATCTATTAAAAGAGAAGGCGAAGCAGCGCTCAGTTGGCGCTGCTTCGCATGGGATTAAACCTGCATGGGATTAAACTTTTACCTCGCTCTTACTTAATGTTACTTGTGATTCCACCGAGATAAAAAATAAATTTCGGCCCAATTCTGTTTATAATATTACAAAAACAGAAATATACATGGGAAAACGTTACGCCGCAATTGGACAAAGTTCATATATTTCAATTTGGCCACTTTGAACAACTTTCCCCGGATCAAAACTTCTACCTCAATTTTAAATTTGTTGAACAATTACCTTCAATCGAAATGAGCGTTAATGGATTATTAAAATTTAAAAAATATGTGGCTATGATTAACGGAAAATCGCCTGTTACAGAACAAGTAGGTCTAAATATGTTGAGTGAAATTGCTCAGAAATTTTCTGAAAAAGAATTAAATGAAAGGGAATATTTGGGAATAAATGAGATAAAAATGGAATTGGATAAATATTTTGGAAGAGGGGCTTTAAATTTCAGCTCTTATTTGAGAAATAATGAAGATCCTTTATTGAATTTCTTTGTTAAACAGGTAAATATTCAAAAGTTTTTAGCTTAAACTACATAGTTATGGCTTTAAATGAAAATACTTTGAGATCCCAATGTTGTGGGCTTCAAATTATGATGTTATCCTCTCAAGAATAGTTGTGGTTTAAAACCGTACCCACCTAAAACCGAAGATTTTAGATTGGATTTATAGCCTCGGTTTCGGTAAACCGATTGTTTGTTAACTATACTGGAAGGAAACTTATCCGACTGTAACTATGATCTTAAATGCCGGTAGGGTAGAGAGGTAGAATTGGTAATGCGCTTGAGATGTAACTGAGTGATTTTTCAATGCTTGAAAAAGCACGGGCAAAGATGCAAATAGACTGGGAATTAGATTTAAAAGTCTTTTGCATTTATTAGCTGATTAATATAAAAATTTAGGAAATTTAATACATAATTTAAGGTACCAATATGTGGACTTTGTCAAGGTAGAAAGCATGGCAAAGATGCAATTTACAAACTTAAAGGCTGCATAGTATATTGCCTTTTTATATATTAAATATAATTACAAATTTTAGGATTATTTTCATAAGGAATGCATTAACACATAGTAAGTATTATACATACTGATTAAAATTAAAGCATGTCCGATTGTTCCATTTTTTCAATTAAAATCAGCGTTATTTAAATAAATCTAGAAGATCAAAATTTTCTTTAATGTGTATATTTTTCGATTAAGTAATTGTCGGATGATTAAAATTTAAGGAATCATGAATAAGTGAGGGAGAGTTAAAATTTAAGCCTCGAGCAGACACCGCGATTGCTATGACTTTCACTCACCAAGTAAAGCTGATCTACCGACTGAGCTATCAGTTTGCTGCTTTGAACTGTTCTTACATCTAATAAATCTTAACCCGCGTAGTTGTCTCTAGTTAATTGTTGGACATGATTTCCGTCAGATTTGTTTTTGATCATGGAAAGAACTTAAATTATTCTTAATTATTATTTTTTAATTAAAGCATAGCAACAGAGCATTCTAATGAACCTCAAAATGAACAAACAAAGGAGTTTATCTCTAAATTGAAGCTATGTCCTATTTGCGAAAGTATAATTAAGTTAAACGAAGAGTGAGGGATATTATTTTATTTTTTCAAATTTTTATTTTTAAGAAATGAGGCGCTCTTTGATGACGAGATTAAAGAGAAGATTTTATATCATATTCAGCTGATATTGCCTATTTTGCAGGTTAAAATTGGGTTTTAAATGACAAAAGCAATAGTAAATATATGAGATTTTTTCCTAATTTTTTTTAAATTTTCAATGTCATTCGAACTTTTCTTTCGAGCTGAGTTTTAATTACCGTATATCCTTTAATAACTACGCAGGGTCATTATTGTTTCGACCTTCCGTTGGAGGAGTAAAAAAACATTTGTGAAAACTTAGGGGGAATTAAATTCGTTTTCTGACTGGATAAAAAAATAGAATAAATTTCTCCAATTAACAAGGACTCTCTTGTTAATCTTGTTAATGCATACAAATTGAGCTGAGTCTTTTTTCCTGAAAAGCGACTAAACCAGGGCTCGGATCGACAAAATGCCACTCAAAAGTATCAAAATCTTGTAAAAAAAGTACATAGGGAGAAAATTTGCTAATAAAATGTACGCTCCAAAAATTTCGGGTAAGGGTTTCGAGTTAAGCGAAAAATTCTTGTTATTTTCTGGTCATTTGGGTGATATAGAGAGAGGCAAATTTGATGAGATTAAAAAGAAATTGCGGGATTTGGGGACTAAGAGGGATATCTTGGTATAATTCCACTATATACTAATATCCCTCCGCCTTATCTTTATTAAAATCTCCAATTTCCTCCCGTTTTCAGCGCCGCAGGCAAAAATTTTGTGAATTTATGAGACCAAGAAGCCAGATTTCTTCCATTTTTTGCGCCGCAGGCGAAAATTTTGAGTTAAATTCTTAGAATGATGTCTAAGGGGTCTTAGAATTATATTAAAAATATTTCTTTTTCAGAATGGTGAATATCCTCATTATACTTATCATGTCGGTCAAGCACGAGAAAGAAAGGAATACAATAGACTAGAAATTATCAGTTTTCCTGACGAAGCTTTGGATATTGACAAGTAAGGGATCATTAACAAGTCATAGTTGACTTTACTAATAATCTATCTATTGAAATATGTATATACATAAATTAAGATCTGAAAGTAGTAAAACTGATGAAAGTGAAGTCAAAAGGAGAAAGAAAGGAAAGGAGAAGTTATACAAGGAAGATGAAAGTTTACCTGAGCATCACGACAGGAGGCGAACGTCGCGAAGACTTATAGATTTATTTAAGGATTCTCCAATTAATAAGGAATCTCTTGTTAATCTTGTTAAATTGGGAAGAAGAATAGATAGAAGGCAAAGGAGAAAGGAGAAAGAAATGAGAAGGGAAGAGGATAATCATAAAGATGAAATAAGAAAGGCAGAAGAGGAAGAGGAAGAAACGTCTTTACGGAAGAAAAGCCGTAAAAAACAACAATCAAAAAAAGCGGATATAAAGAAAGATGCCGAAAAGAAGGAGGATGATGAAGAGGAAGGGACTCCTTTGAGAAGGAGAAGTCGTAGAAAACACATTTCTGGAGGAGAGGGTCATTTGGTTGATGATAAGAAGGATGACGATAATAATAATAATAAGAATATGGCATTGAGCCTAGATCAAGAACATAAACAAGAAGAATACAAGAATGGTATTCGTACTGCAAGAAGTCCATTAAGAAGACAATTATCTAAAGAAAGGTGATATTTGTCATACATTTTTAATAATCACAATTTAGAAGACGCTACAGAAGTCAGCCTAGCGGAGCAAGGTCATTAGGTGTATTGAAATTACCCGAACGTTCATTAAGCGATCATGATACTGGCTCAAAACCTTTATTTTATGAAACAGAGCATGATGGAATTAAAATGGGTAAAAGAGATAGTCAGGGCTCAGACAATCTCACTATGCAATTAGCTTTATTCAAATCTCTATCCAAGACTGAAGAACAAAGGAAAGATAAAGGTATAGTATGTTATATTTTATTATCAGAAGAAATAACATATCAGACAACAAAAAATAAAAAAGGAATGGCGGGGATAGGAATAGTAGGAGACCCTCTTCTAGGTTGTCGTTTTATTAGAGACTGTCGTTATATTAGAATAAATACGGTATGTAGCTTTTGAATTAGTCATACTAACGGCACCTCTATATCATATCCCGTAATACTTTATATCTTACACAAATCTTATCAACATGCTCATTATTTTTAAAAATTAAATATCTTAAGGTTCAACACTGAGAGAGATTCCACCATTCCAACACATCGAAGCTTCTAAAGAAATAGAAGAATTTGAAGAAGTGTCATCAGACTATAGTAAAATTCAAAATATACAGCCCTGGGATTGGGAGAAATTTTATTATCCAGATTCTTCCTCAGGTCAAACTTCTCCAGTACGAAAAGATTATCAACAACCAAGTGCAAGTCATGAAATTTATGAAGAGGATGATGAAGGGGAGAAAGAAAAAAGGAAGGAAGGAAAAGTTTCAAGTCCAAAATCTCCATGGTTTAATGAAGAAGATTATATTGAAGATATTGAAGAAGATAACAAAAGAAAAAAATCATCAAAAAGTTTAAAAGAAAAAATGACAAGCAAATTTAGAAAACTGACAGAGAATCCAAAATTAAGTAAAATTAAAAGGGTAATTAGCGACAAAATAAAAAGACGAATTAAAAGCACATAAATAATTAATTAATTTTTAATGTAAATATGTTGTAGGGTAGTTCAAAATCTGGCAATCGGTCTCAAAGGTTTTAAAATTTTCTCACATTCGGTTGAACAATTTAGAACTACCCTATCATTATTTAATTTACTAGTTCAGCGCCCATATGTATTTTATCCTGATTAGGAACTGAACCAAACCGAAGAACCGAGAATTTTTCGATTTGGCAGTAGCTCTATTTATTTAACTATGAACATAATTACCCTCAAAATAGTTTGTCTATTATAAGAGGATAAAAGAGGTTTCTGATCTGAAAAAGTAAATTAATTCCAAATCTCTGAAACTATGATGTAGTAGTAGCCAACTCTCATTACTCTTATCTACAACAGTTCTATAATTACATATACGTACCACTAATTTTTTAACTGTTTCCACAATTTCCTTTTTTTATTTAATTCTTCTGAATTTGATTCTTATGAGATGTGCAAACGAATAAATAAAAAATTTTTTATTATGTATTTATTAGTGTTAGGCAAACGCGATTTTTCGGTATCGGTATTTTCGGTAAAATACCGATACCGCACAAAACCGCGGTATTTTTGATTGAGGCGGTATCGGTATCGGTATTTCGGTAAAAATACCGCGGTATTACCGAAAAATACCGCGGTAATACGTTACCGTGACCAACTCTAGTATTTATATTATCATTGTTCCAAATTAGAAAAATTCTATCCCATAATTTCGTCAAAGCAAAAATAAATGAATTATATCTAATGAACACAAACTTTACTACAGTAAAAATTTTTTATATTGGTTTTTAGCCTATTAATCAGATCAGACTAAATTTTATGTTATTTTTTGAATTACATAGTTTTTACATCCGAAAATTCTCGGATCTTTTGTCAACTAAAGGATTGAAAATATTATATTTATTCGGTTACTTTTTTTATAACTTTTTATTTAGCTTCTTTTAATATCCACTTTGTCCATTTCCTGAATGTTTGCGCCAACATAATGTTTGTGTAGCTTTATAAAGATAACATTGACTATTACGTTTATATTTTTGCTAGAATTTATTATGGACTATCAAATTTTTTGATATAGGTAATTTATATTTGCTCATGCATAGAACATCTAGTTAGTTACTAGTTAGAGTTATTAGTTACTAGTTATTAGTTACTAGTTATTAGTTACTAGTTATTAGTTACTAGTTATTAGTTACTAGTTATTAGTTACTACTTAGTTACTAGTTAGACACTCTTTTTTATTTTCACTTCATCTAAAAATTTTTTTTTGGTTCTTTTATAATTTTAAATATCCAGAGACTTCTGACATAGCCATAAAACCCAAAAATTTATTTATTTAAATTTGTTTTCAGTTAAAATTTAGAAATAGAAATGACACCGCAAAAACTTTTTAATGTTACATTTATTCGTTTAATATTAGGCTACTAATTTAATCAAAAATTTATAAAAAAATTAAAATCGAATTAGCATTAATTAAATTTTATTCTTTCCTTTCTAGTTTTACTTTCTTCAGCATTTTCACTTCTAATTATTCTTTTTCTTCATCTAAGCCTTCCTTTCTTGATTTGGCTCTTCCTTCTTCACATTATCCACATCATCAATCTTCTTCACCTCCTTCAATTCTTCCTTCCCCATTTCTTCCGCTTCATCCTTGTTCATCTTTTCATTCTCATCCTTCTTCTTTCCAATTTTAGGAATCTCTTCCTTCTCCTCTTTCAGACGTTGATAAACTTTATTTAATTTCTTCACCATTTCTTTTGCTTTGTAAACAACTTTAAAAATTTTTTTAAATTTATTTAAAATCTAAAAATTGTTATTCCCACCATTCTCAGCCTCATAAATTCGCTCTATAATTTCATCTACTTCACTCTGACTACTCGAAAGATACGATAAAAGTACATCATCAGCAGAATGTAAATTATCCAATTCATTCTCAGCAATTTTATCAATATCTTTTAAGATTTTTACATTTTCAGCTCCAAAAAGTGAATTTAAAACTTGTTGAATATCGTGAAAAGAACGTTGATTTTCCCATTCTTTATAATATTTCATTTGCTCTTCTACAATACATAGAGCCATAAGAAATTCGTTTATACGGTCACATTCATCAAGAACTATTTTTAACTTCACTGCTTCATTTAGATCGGGTATTATCTGTATATTACAATAGTTTTTGATTATTAATATACTTTACTAATTAATCTAGGATCTTGTGGATTCCCATAATCAAGGTTATTTTTTTGACGGTTCCAAAATGTCAACAGCTTCATCCCTCGTATTCCGTGTTCAGATAACCCAGATTTCACGAACCGTTGTCCATGAACAGAGAAGAGTACCCACAAAAGCCCGAAAAATATCAATAACAAACCTCCTCTTCATCAAGTCTTTCATCAATATTAAAATTATCATTTTTAATCATATATGCTACCATTTTTAAATTCCATTCTCTCTTAATCATTTCCCTCATTTCTTTATTTTCAAAAATTTTTTTATTCTTCCATAATTCATCAAATGGCAAAATAAGCATATTTGGAACACGTTTACGTTTATTTTTCCCCACTAAATGTTCTTCAACCATTAAATCTATTTTGTTTTCTAAATCATTTCTATTTTGAATTAATTCCTCTTTCGAGACAAACTCTCGTTTTCCCCCATCTACTGCCCCATTAATTCCATATTTTTTATATTCTTCATCAGATTCTGTTATTTTACAGTTTTTATAATTTTCATCATTTATTTTCTTTTTTGGCACATTATTATTAAAATTATTTCCAAAATTTTTATAATTTGAAGAGTTTATCTTTTGTAAATTTTTCTTTTTATTTTTTTGATTATTAAATACAATTTTGTTATTTAAAAATTTTTGATCGCTTGCCAAATTATTTTTTAAATTAATTGGGAAATGGGGAGAGGAAATTTTTGCGGGAGCTTTTATTAAAGGTGTTGATTTTGAATTATTAATTAATTGAATTAAAATAATAATTTCGAGTAAAATAATATTTATTATTTTAATATTACAAAACATTTTTAATTTTACCCTGCAAATTTTAAAAGTAAAAATTTTTTAATAAATTCAGCCTTAACTAAAAGATATTCCTGAAGCTAGATATGTACATCTTGGGTATTTTAAATAAAAAATAACATAAAAATCTCTCGAGTAAAAATTTTTACACCTAAATTCAACATAAATGTTTAAAAATTTAGTTGGTCGCTGAGGAAGGAGCTGCCTAAGAATCCTCACTACACCTCAATATAAGACCCAAAATTTAGACTCAAGGGTTTCTAAAGGATAGATTTGACTATATAATTAAAATAAAAATGTACGTATAATTCTTGCTTAATTATTTTAAAAAGAAATTATTATATTATGAAAATAATAGCAACAATATTTTATTATTCTTGCTTTATATTATGTAAATTTTATTATTTAATTATAATTATGTAAATTATTAAAAAATCATTTTGCCTATGTCGCAATGGATTTGCACTTAACTGTCGAGACTTTAGTGCTTTTCGTTGAAATATTTTTTATTTCTTTGATCATACATACATATTTCATTATTTATTTAAATAAAATTTAAATAAATAAAAGGGCATTTATATAAAAGGGCATTATGTATAAATAAACAATATAGATTTTGAAAGTTAAAAAATAAGTTCTTTTCACGTGATACTCATAGGTAATTCCTTGAAATTCTAGAATATTCTTATTATATAAAAACTTTTGATTATAATATGTATATAATGTAGTAGTGATGCTCGGGTATCCGATCCCGACTCCCGACTCGGGAAAATTTCCCGAGTTTTTGGCCTCCCGATCCCGACTCCCGGTGTCAATTCCCGACTAAGTCGGGAAATTTTTACACCCCTAAGAATGGATTTTTCTGACAAAATTATATTTTTATTTAGAAAAAATGAAGAAATCTGGCCTGTTGGTCTTTTAAAATTCCCAAAATTTTTGCCTGCGGCGCTGAAAAGCGAAGATTTTTGGCTTAAGGATCTTCCAAAATCCTCAAAATTTTCGCCTGCGGCGCTGAAAATTGAAGAATCTGTGGAGTTGTAGTATAGAAGATTTCGGTGATTTACTAGGATTATGGTGAATTTAAAGAGATAACGAGGGATTTGCAGTAGGTGTCATCAACTACTAAGAATCATACATACTTATAATCCCAAAATTTGGGGCAATTTATTTAAAACCTATGTACTTCCAATACTCGAATACGCATCACCTTTATGGAACCCTAAGCAAAAAGTTTTGATTAATACTTTAGAAAAAGTACAAAAATTTTACACAAGAGTCGCCCTTAAAAAATGTAGAAACAAAAAATTCAAATATCAAGACAGGTTAAAATTATTCCAATTAGAACCTCTTCTCATAAGAAGATATTACATAGACTTAGTCACAATGTATAAAATATACTTCAATCTAACAAGCTTAAACCCTAACGAAATGTTTATACAAAATTCTAGGCCTACTAGAAAACACAATTATATGATCCAAGTTTCACATAAAAATAATAAAACTTCGAATTCTTTCATTAACAGAACAACAACCATTTGGAATTTACTCCCTAAGGAAATTTTTATTGACCATACAATTAACAAATTTAAAAACAATTTAAAAATATGCCTACCCCCAATCCTGGGAAAACTCAACATATCAATTTAACCTACCCTAAGAACAACACTAAAAAATTTAAATAATTGCCGAAATTATGTATTGACTTTCTCACACTACTTATAAATAAATATACATACCATCTAAAATAATTTTTTGTCTAAACCTACCACGCCCAAAACATTTATAAACCAAAATTCCTATCTCAACTCGACCCCATTTTTATTTTTTATGCTTATTTTTTAAAATGATTTATTTTTCGTTTTTTTATTAGTATTTTTTTTGTAACCAAAATATATATTTTTTAAGAATACTTATTTCAACTTTCTTTTTAAGCACCAGTTAAATCAATTTAAACTTTTGTGTTCCTAATTTATTTCTAAAAATCATACTTACCTTATTATTCTTCTTTTCTACTTAAAATTAATTTCTTAACATTATTTTTACATTTCAATCGTTACATATATTTGTATACATTTTTTCTCCATATTAGCGGTATATTGTATACCCTTTGGAGTTATGAATAAATTTGAAATTTGAATAATATGTATATAATGTAGTAGTGATGCTCGGGTATCCGATCCCGACTCCCGACTCGGGAAAATTTCCCGAGTTTTTGGCCTCCCGATCCCGACTCCCGGTGTCAATTCCCGACTAAGTCGGGAAATTTTTACACCCCTAAGAATGGATTTTTCTGACAAAATTATATTTTTATTTAGAAAAAATGAAGAAATCTGGCCTGTTGGTCTTTTAAAATTCCCAAAATTTTTGCCTGCGGCGCTGAAAAGCGAAGATTTTTGGCTTAAGGATCTTCCAAAATCCTCAAAATTTTCGCCTGCGGCGCTGAAAATTGAAGAATCTGTGGAGTTGTAGTATAGAAGATTTCGGTGATTTACTAGGATTATGGTGAATTTAAAGAGATAACGAGGGATTTGCAGTAATAAAGAGAGATATCAATGGATGATTAATGTTGCATAGGGGGTGTTAATATTTACTATTGAGAGGATATAAAGAGATATGTGGCTAGTTCACCAAAATTCCACGAAATTGAACATAAAAATATTTTTCTGTTTCACTTTTCCTCTATTTCACTCCAATGGAGAGATTCTAAGGACTTAAGGTCAATGACAACAAATATAAATCAAAGCTGGGCTCTGGCTCAAAGAAAAAGCCCCCAGCAATACCCAACACTATTTATCTCTGCGGTTACTAGGTTTTTTGGACAGGCTGTTGGCTTATCTTTCCAAATAATCGGGGAAATAAACTCTTAAGTTACACTTAAAGATCGTTCAAGACCCCTTTCTATTTCACTCCAATGAGAGTCAAAATTTTTGGCTGCGGCGCAAAAAATGGAAGAAATTTGACTTCTTGACCTAAAAATTCTCAAAATTTTTGCCTGCGGCGCTAGTAAGGCTTCTTTACCTTCCAAAATTTTCAATATTTTTGCCTATGGTGCAAAAAATCGAAATTTTTGGAAAAATTTTTTATTGCTAATTCCCGACTCCCGATCCCGACTCCCGAGGTCATTTCCCGACCCGACTCCCGTTTCCCGATTCCGGGTTTTTTCTTCTCCCGAGCATCAATATAATGTAGATTCTCCCAAAGAGAATATTAATATAAGTTGATTCTCTACGATATCCCCAAATCCCACGATATACCTTCTTAATTCTTCAACCACAGATATCTCTTAATCCCTAAGAATTAAACGTAAAAAACTAACTTATCACCACAAATCCATTCGATCCTCAAAACTCACTCGATATCTCAGTTGATACTTTTCTAATTGGCACTAATCCCTCCATGCCCATTCATTGGGACGAGTTTGATAGATTTTTTGAAAATTCCCCGTCCTTCCTCCACCTTACGTCGCGGAACACCCTAATAAATAGTACGCTTCAATAATAAATTATAATAAAAAAACGATATTTAAAAACATAACGTAACATTTATTTATATCTTAGTAAAATACAAAGTTATGATTAAAAACAAGAGGGAAAAGCCAATAATTTCTGTTAGTTAGGAAATAATATTTTTAACTTTTTATTTAACAATTATATTTATCAAGATATAAGAAAGGGAAAGTATATGACAAACAAATTTAATCATCAATTGAATTCCTTTACTGAAGTCTCAATAGTAGCGTACTACCATTTTGTTTCTTATAAATTTTTGTTTGTTCTATTTTTATAATATTGTTTATTGTAACATGATCTACATATATATTGATAAAGTGCTGAATAACGGTGCCACTTTGGTGTTTTATTAACTTTGCAAATTGCGCAATGTCTATCTTCCTTAAGTTAAATTCAACAGAAACATTATTTATATGAATAATCTATTAAAAATTATAAAAATTAGGAACCTTTTTAGTTTTAATCCAAAATACTTCTGGTCTATTTTCTCCGTTATTTTTTTGTTTATAAATGTAACATGCTTTACACAAATTGTATTTCTCAAAGTATATATACCATTTTTTCGTCTGTTTAGAGTTACAATTGAAACAATGTCGTTTATTTTTTTTATTGTATTGATCTATATTTAGGAATAAATTATAAGACGCCCTCGATTTTTAACTAGGTTTGCGTGAGGTCGAGGTTTTTCGAAAAAACCGAGACCGAAGATCACCGAGACTGAAAAAGCGAGGTTCGAGGTCGAGGTTTTTGGCGAGGCCTCGACCTCGCGCAACCCTATTTTTAACTAAAGAAACTAATTTTAGGCCCTAGTAGAAATATCGTCATGGAGGAGTACACAATGTGAGAATGCCAAAAAATAAAAATTTTTATTACTTATTTTATTGCCAAAATAAATAATTCTGCTTTTTTCTTTTAAATATTCAACTTTTTGTTTTTCTAACAATTCAATTTTATATCCAATTAAATTAATTTCCGTCCAATAACTTGATAAAAGTTTGTTTTTATAGGATTCTATATTTTCTTTTAATATTTCTTTTTTAATTATTT